TTTTTGGAACACCTTCAGTTAAAGGCTTTTTTTTTTTTTTTTTTTTTTAAATACTGACAGCCTAACAAGTGTTACCACTGAATAAACTCCTCTGCCCAGCTAAATTATCTCATGAATTTTCATCTTAGAGATACTGAGGAAAAGAGAAAAGCAGCTAAGGCTCAATGTGTTGTAAATGCTGTTCTGAAATACACCTGTATAATGAACAGAACAAATATCTCTGACCACATTTCTCTCACTATAAACACAGCCCATTAGCAGATGCAGCAGCTGAGACTGGAGATTAGGCCACTCGGAACTTTTATCCTTCTGGCCAAGTTTTTAAGTATATTGTTTCCTGTGTTTTGATGGCATTTTGTTTCATGTAATGAAGGGAAATACTCTGATGTGCTACAATATGCTCTGCTTGGCCACTTATACAAAACTGAAGGAATTTAATCACAGTGTAGATGTATTCTCAATATGTTAATTGCAATAAGGTTTTGTAAGCAAGTATTAAGCAGTTCTAAAATTCAGTTCTATAACCTGCAGTCTAAAATCTACCACTTGCAATGCTAATTCTTAGTTATTAGGTAGCACAGATTTAGGATAGATGTATATACACAGTTTTCACTAACAAAGGCTAATTATAGAATCTCAATTCAATTATCAACAAAAATAACCTAGAGTAATTAAAATCAGTCCAAATGTCACTATTAAAAATACCTCCACTACTGAAAACATGCAGCTGAATTCAATCACGTAGGCAATAAAGCAAATACAAAGTCTGCCCTCCTTATACTTATGCAATTGTCTCTAAGATTTATCAGTAGTAGCATCACTTTATAAATAATTTTGGATTTCCACTGGAAAAACCTCACTTTAATCCTCACATACTTCAGCCTTTTCGACTTTACCTTCTGCAATCCAAGTCTGATTACCTTCCTCAGGTACATAAAGGCTGACGGTAGGCACAGAACTCAGTAATTCAGTTGGCACAGAAAACAGGCATTTGTCACTATAGGTATTATAACCTGGGAATAACCAGGTTAACTATATAAACTATAGGTATCTATAACCTGATCTGGGATACCAGCAAGCACTGGTAGTTTCAGACCAAGTCTAAACCTCATTTCCTTTTTAAAATCTACTTAAGTTCTGATATGAAGATTTCAATCACTCAAATACAATACCTTAAATGGACATGACATTCTTCAACACAGAAAAGGGCTAATGAAAAACTAAGTGTCTACCCAGGTTATTCTGTGAATTAACCTGATTTAAGTGGTAATGAACTGAAGCACTTAATTTGAGAGTTCTGGAATAACAGTGAGCTGCTGCTTACTATAGTCAATAACTCTAGAGCACGTTCAGACAAAAGTCCAACAAATGAAATCTAGACCTTATGTTATGGAGGAGAAATGTAAAACTTCAGAGGTAGTTATGTTAAATATTTATATCTTACAGCAAACTGTAAGCCTTCATACAAAGTATGGTTGTTGTTTTTTGTTTTTTTTTTTTTGGTGTTGTAGTTACACTGGCTGTAAGATATAATCCTTTCCCATGACATTTTAAAAATATGCAGCCTGAAAGTAACCAATATTTGGCCAAATGGGAAATACTACCATCTATCACCCACCTTCATCACTCAAGTGATCCCAGTCTTCCTGAGCTAGGAGGCAAAAAGCTGAAAAGCTTTCTCATGTAGACTTTTCCACCGGTACACTAAATATTCATTATGCTGACACTGTAATAAGAGCACTTACATCAGTACTTTATTGTTTATGTCGGTGAGTTTTCTCAGAATGTACATACCACCGCAGGGGAACATCTCACGTCACGTCCTTCTCTACTCACCAAAATCTAGGCATTGCATGAAAAAAACATTAATGGATTGTCAAATCATGCACTGAAGATTAAACATGAATGCCTATTCTTTTATTCCAATTGCCAAATAGGGTCACTTGTGACTGCTGACCAACACTTCTCTGCTTATGGAAAATCCTTCGTATCGTAAAGACCATTTTGTAAGTGCTCGTTCCAAGTATTACTATGGCAAATAAATAAAATTCCCACTTCAAAAGGCTCCAAATTTGCTTTGGGACCAAGCATCACTTTCTACTAACAGCCTTCTGCTTTTTGAAGTTAACTTAATTTCAGGATAGGAATATTTTGTCAAGTTTGACACCGAAAGGTAAGCCCACCCTGGCATGCATTGCTTTTTCCAGAGGAAGTCTGCTCAAAAGAGTAGACTGAGCAAGAGATGACAGGTAGGTCAGTAAGAGTTAGTCTCATTTTCTGTTTCACTGGAAGTAATTCCAGTAGATAGAGATCAGTTGTAACAGCAGATCAAATCTTTGCATTTTGAAAAGGAAGTATTATGGTATCAGCATCCTTTATCAAACAATACAAGCACAGGTTACTTGTATATAGAAGTATCACTGCTAACAACTTTTGCTGTCAGTGAGTGTTTTGTTAGACTAAGTCTAGTTCCATATGTGAAAAGTTTCTAATGCCTTATTTATGGTACCCCATCACCTCCTCCATCCTCACTGCCCATCAATTCATGTTTCTTCTTTTGTCTTATTGCCAAGCATCGTGCAATGCCCAATGCACCTCCTTTTAGAAACCGTACAAAGTTGTCTCCAACCAGAGGACCCAAAGCAAAGAGGTTTGCTTCTTTAGTGCATTCATATGTATATGGATCTATCTCAATAGGATTCCCCTTGCACGTGATGGGCTGATTTAAGTGATGACCTATGCTATGTCCTTGGTCCTTTAAAAAGAAAAGATTTGGGTGAGAACCTATCAGAACTAAGGCTACAGAAAACTTCAAGATTTTCTTCAGTCCAGAGGCACTCTGAAGAACACATTTCATTTCAGGCTTAAAGGAAAGTACATTGTGTTCAGGGAAACTAGTGTAAGCAGAATGCAGATGAGAGTCCCCAGTATGTGACTGAGTGCACATCATATGATAGACCTTATGGTACTCAGGGTAAAGCTTTTTAGGTAACTGTTTGAAAATCAAACTCGAATCAGTAACTCTTCTACGAAACACATGAATTACTGGGATGTTGTTATTGTAGGCACACAGTACTGCATCAGCTGCAGTAAGTCCAGCACCCACAATTAACACAGGGTCTGCTTTCCCACGTAGCTTTCCTTTGCCTACAGCAGCTCCGAAGTCAGACATGGAATGAAGGACAAAAGGAAAATCTTCACCTTCAACGTGCAGTCGGCCAGGAGAGTCAAAGGTTCCCGTGGCAAGAGCCACGTTCTCAGCAAAGAGGCAGAAGGGCACATGAGAACCATCTGTTGCTCGCTGATAACCTCTGACTTCCCAGTTTCGCTTAATCAGTGGTTTCTGTCCATCTTGCATTTCCAAATGCTGTGTTGGAATATTTTCATTCAGTTGACTTCTGTCTTCATCATCTCCTCGGTAAAGTCTGGATACTGACGTTATGTAAACATTGTCCCTGAAGTTTTTTTGGAGGCCCATGACTTTAACATAGTGTTTATAATAACAAGCTATTTCCTCTGGCATTACTCGGTCACTCTTTATATTTCTGAAACAAAATTGAATGTTTCCAGTTAATATAAAGACCTTATCAATACTTTCAACATCATCTATGATCTACAACACAATAGTCAGATTTAAGAGCGCTGAATCTGCCCAGTGTAACTAATGTGGAGTTCAATATATTTAAACTCACTAAATTTGCTTTATTTGCTCTCTTGATTCCTGATACAAGAGACAAGCTATCTTTTTTTAAAACAATGTAAATATTTAATTATAATAAGTGCTAAGGCAATGAACAAATCAAAAATAAAACTGTAGTATTACAGTAGGTCTATATGGAAGTGTTTTACAACTCACTCTAACATCATGACCATCTACAGTACAACACCAGCTAAAACAGCACTCAATGACCACTAAAATACAGTAAATAAATATCGTAATTGCTAAGAGACGAATTTGAAACTATAGGTTCGGTGTATTACTTGTAAAGCGTAACGAAGAAAAGGGCTTAACTCAAAAGAATCACTCTCCTGTGAGTACAGATAAGTTCAGCAAGTCTCAAATTAAGTAGCTCAGTAACAGAGAATTAAATCCTACCTGAATGAATAAAGTATCACACTGAACCTTAATATACACTTGAACAGGATTACAATGACCAGATGTCCAATAAAAAGCATTCTTGCACTGGAATCCTGACACTGCCTTATGTTTGACCTATTTACAAAAAATTTAAGCTCTCTGAGAAATTGAATGAATCTGTTTGCTTCTTTAGAAAAAAGCTCTAGAAATAAGCCAAAAGAAACAGTAGCAAATAACAGGTTAACCGCTGAATTAAGCTTAGAAGCATGTTTACATGAGGCTGGGTTGCTTATTCTCAACAGTTAAAAAGATAATGTATGTGCTTTCAATTTAGGTTACTACTCTGAAAATCCTAATGAGGTATTTAATGGATAGGATGAATGTCAGTGTGACACCTGCTGTAAGAACACTATTTCACATAACTGTAAGCATTAATTATCACTGATACTTTCAAATATGCCTGTTTAACTGCAGTAAAACAGTTCAGCATTTCTTTTTATAGTATTGTTGAAAATTATAATATAAACAAATTAGCTCCAGATAATAAGCAGCTTATGGGATTTCAGTTAATGACAGTAATCTTGCCTCCTTATTATCTCAGAAAGCCATTACAGAACAAAGGTAGTTTCTTCATTTTAAGTGTTGTCCTTAAATGAGTAACACACTGCTCTTAAAGACATATGCCCAAGAAATCCTTCTACTTTTTTGCCCTACGTGTCAAAACAACTTCCTTTCATCTTGCTAGAACAAAGTTAGGAAAATTTGTTTTAGAACAGGCTTAAGCAGAGCACATCTGTTGACACAGATCTTTGGGAACTAATCACAGCTTCAAAGTAAAAGCCAAGAGATTGTACAAGACAATGGTTTTTCTTTAACTTGCCTTCCAAGGAACTTACTACAAGAAACTTTGGGAAGTAATGAATTATTCTCTTAAAAGTACAGTTCACAGATTGTAACATTTCAGATGCTACAGCTCTGTCTGTGAAATAAATACTGAGAGGTACTGACTTCCTGAATTGCAAGCTAGTATACACAGCAACTTAAGTTACTCAAGTTAACATCCACATTGAAAGAGAAACTTCTGGTATACTTTGGTAGGTTTAAAATGACTGAATCAGCTTACAGTAACAGCACTTATCTGAGAAACATTCAAACACACCACTGTTAGTATGTATGCTTTTGATGCACTCAAAGCCGTCCTTCTGGCCAACTGCTGTCAATTTTCTTCCACCAGAGTACATAAATCATTTTCAATGCCATTAGGCAATTTAATAAACAAAAGAAGTTTTCCTGTAAAGAATGAAGCTCAAATGTTTTCCAGTTCTTAAAATAGGTTATCTGCATTCTTACAACTTATTTCGTAGTACTTAAGGCAGTATCTTTACCTGCGCTTGCTAGCTGCCCACTCCTTGAAAGTGAGTCCAGGCAGTTCCATCCAGTCTCCAAAACTGATTGTTAACATAGAGCCTTCCATGGCCTATAGTGAAGAAAAAAACCAAGATGCATGACCAGAAACATTTCAAATATATACTTTTATGTAAAACAACAGAGTTCTTCTCACTGTATTCCTTCAGACCGATAAAAAAATAGAGCATAATACATCTTGATGAAATATTTTTGGCCTACACTTAGATGTTTTAATGAGCAGTTATGTGATCTAAAAAAGTAGAAAGAGAGGACAAGCAAAGTGGAAAACAAAAGCAGGTTACTTAAAAATATTGTTATTTGAAACAAGAAAAAAAGATTAAAGCAGTAGGATACGGCCAAAATCTTAAGATTTTGTATAATTGCACCTGAAAACAACATAAGAAAAGTTGGAGAATAACCTCGGTTATAATTTAAACTACTAATAAAAACAAGACAGCAGTTATGGCCACAATCCCCACAATTAAAGAGTAACTTATCCCTCTGCCAATCTTTAACATACTTGACCTTTGATAACGGAAACTGCAATTGTCATCATTGACATTTAAAACAACCGTTCTAAGAAAAGCCCAAACCACAAAATTATCATGATATGAAATGTTTACTCACATGCCAAGCCCCACCAGGTGGGCCTTTACCAAGCACTACATGGGGAATATAGTTATGCTGTTCTAGCTTCCAGTGCAAAACAGATGGGTAGTCATATCCAAAGTCAGCTTCAGGATGAAGCAGTGTATCAAAGAGCACTGCAACTGGGTTTGAAGAGCGTCCCTCAAGGCCTTCAGACAGGTACTCTAGATCCTGAAGCACGAAAGTTGAGTTTTATATATTTACCTAACTTTTACTGTTTATCATACTCTTCTGATGTACAGACACTGAATTTGATATGCAGAAAACAATCAGTGGAAGCTGCATGTTAAGCATTTTATAGAGAAATACCATCAAAACAGTTATTTCTAAACTGCCACGATTTACTCCTGTAACTCTGAATATAGTGCATGTGCCTCATTTGAAAATTACATACTACTAATGCAGTAACAGCAGGGCTAGGTGGTATTTTAAAAACTGGGACAAATATCCAAAAGAACAGAGCAACCTGGTAACATTTATACTTACTGATACTGGACTGCTTTTAACAGAGAATCGCTAGTATTTCCAGGAATGTAACTTGAACACATATCTGAAGTATGTTATCAACACATGGTGTTCAGCCTTAAACCACCACACAACTGTACACAAACATTCTAGGACATGAGAGCTGGAAAGCCTGCATCAGCTCCTCACTGACAAAGTGATGCTTTAGACGCTTTTGGCAAGCAATAGTATCATTACAAAAGGCAGATTGTAAAACCCAAAAATGCCACAAACAAAAAGTTCTCTAGAGCCACAAAACAAACCACCTTCACAAACACAGCAGCCTTGGATCATGAGCCTTAGATCATTTAAATCAACAGAAGAATGTTATCACTGCATTGGAAATGTGATTAGCTAAGCAGGCTGCTTCTACACATTTTTCTGCAATCTGCTATTTATTTATTTATATTTAAGATAAGCAGTTCTCAGAATGTACTATTTTTCATCTGGAAGTGCCAAGTATGTAATTTGTTAATGAGACACTGAAGAAGGTATGTACTGCCCTTCAGTCTGCAGGTAAGAGCTGCACAGGCCAAGTGGTAAAGCTAGCTAGCTGAGGCCACACAGCTACCTGAGCTGTACTGTGGTCTCACTGTTTGCAGGGTAAGAACATTAAGCCTTTTTTTCATCTACACACTACTTACGTAAGTAACAAAAGCATTTTAAATAGGCTCATTAAAGACTACTGTTTCATAATGTAGCTTGTGGTAGGAAAAGAGCTGGACAAGACTGCAAAACAACCTTACCTGATCAACAATGGAAAGATGTCGGGCTTCCTCTAATTTTGTGTGGAGAATGGGGTTCGGATGTACAGCTTCAGGAGACAAATACGGCCTGTACCCAGACAGTAGATATGAAAGACAAATTCCTGAAGGTCCATTTCCTATTGAAGAAAGAGGAAACTGCTTTAGAAACTTTAGATTACTTCTATTAAGTAATTAAATAAGCAGCAATAAAGTTACAGTAAAGCAGCATAATGCATTACCATCCCGATTCAAAGCAGCTTAAAATTATCACAGTAAAATAACACCTACCCTAGAATTTCCTCCAGATAAACCAAGCACAATTTTTATCAGGTAAGAAAAAAAATGTGTGTGACAGTTAGCACTATGAAACAAAGTGTACATAAAGGGATTTCATATTTCAGCATGTCAAGTTCACTGTTCTCATGCAAATGATCTGATGGATAAGATCTGCTCTACTTGTCAATCACAGTAATACCCGAATATTTCCATCTTGCATTTCTGCATTCACACTTGTACTAAGTACTGTAAAACACAGAACAGAAACAAGCCGGGGTATATGTTCTTTAGGTCTGATAAAAGGAAGAAAAAAGATGAGCAGAAAGGTGAAAATGATCCAAGACAATGAAATATCACGCACACAGCATAACAAAGTAGATGCTGACACACACAGTCCATACGTAGCATAGTACAAAAAACTTGCATCAAGCCACATTCAGCTTTATTGCAACAATATCAATTCAAGCATCTTTGTTTTATGGCTTTCTATAATTTATACAAATTATTGTAATTAATAGATGAACTTATTTTATAAAAGGTATTTAATGGATGGGACCAAGATATTACTATAAGAACAATATTTGATTAGCATTAAATTAAGTAGGAGATCACAATAACATACAAGTATAGAAGTAGTGCTAACGTTGTGAAGTCAAATATCAACATCTAGGGAAAGTTAATATCAGAAAAGTATGTGCTATTCTACAGAATTTAAACAGTTGTGACTACGTGCAGTTATTTCTATAGGTGTTCCTCATTAACTGAACAAAAAGTAGTGAGCAGTGTTCTCCACTGAGACATTACTCAGTATTTTGTGTTTATTTTCATCTAGAGTGGGACACGTGGCATTTACTACACATTATTTAGATTTGATGCTGAACTTACCAATTTATTCATGGTTCTACATAGCACTCATCGTTAGGATGTTAGATCTTACTTTGTATTATTTTAACTCCTGATCTCAAGAGTTCATCCTTTGCTTCTTATTCCTCATTATCTTTGCAGACCTATTTGTATCTTGTATTTCCAATCTCACTCTTGCAGTGCATGTCTCCTCTTTCCACTTACTGGTTTTTTAGTCCCCATATTTCCCAACAAGTCTGCTCAGACCTTGTCTCTCCTACTCACTCCCAGGCCTAGAACCTGAGCAAATAACCCAGGCCGCACAGAGTGCTTTAGGGCTCTTAATGCAGCTTTTGTGTGAGTATATGGACATAAAAAAAAAAAAAGTGTTAAAATGCCTGTGCATCGTAAGACCATAAAGCACTGGAAAGAATGAGAGAAAGCAGTGAGTTCCCACCACAGACATCTTCTAGATGAAGTTCACCTTTATGTACCTAAAAATGAATATGTACCTAAATATAACCAACTTCAAAGATCCCTGCAAAGCCCTGTTATTTAGATGAAAATAAGACCACATTGTGCTTATATGCTAACAATCAAAACCAGTGCACATGACAAAGTTTAGCACATTCTCTAGATTTAGAGCTCCACCACAAAATTTGCCAATTTTACCTCATTCAAATAGAATTTAACAGTTTCTTCCCATTCTCTCGAGCAAAACAAGAACAGCACAGAAGTTACTTAATATTATCAGAGTAGTTTTGTATACCCTACAGTATTACAGTACACTGCACAGCACAAGCCTAAGAATCTGATCTTAAATTGGGCATCATACAGGGGAGAAATGGAATGGTGAAGCAAAAGAGAGGGCAACAGAAGTTGCTATTCCATTATGAAGTCACTAATGAGCCATGCCATATTTTTCCTCCTGATTATTAGAATAGTGCAATGAAAAGACAGCACTAGGAAACTTAAAGATGTTAAACTCCACTTACACAGGCATAGCACACAGGATTAGGCCAGTAGAGATTCTGTTTGTGCACACGTGTGTGAGGGAAAACTAGTCAAAGCAGCTGTGTTTGGTATCAGCACAGAGGAAGGCATCGTAGACAAAGTAAGTATTGAGCACAGGTATTTGCATAACACATATTTGCAAAGCTAAACAGTGAAAACTGAGTCATTAGCCATATGGTAAACTTAAAAGAAGGTTGATGAAATGCCAGGAAGCTGTTGCTCTTCAACTGTGATGCAGAACTTAGCAAGTGATTCACTTGCTGTCTGTCACATTCATATAAAATACATCCCATGAGCACTATTTTAAGCCATTATGAAGAAAGCTTTGAGAACGTGCACTGTACAAACACTGATCTTTCTGAGTTGTGGAGATATAACATGAATGTATGTTGAAATATCATTCTCTGGAATCTCTCTGCCTGTTTGCATGTACAATGAAAGGTGTTGATTTGCTGTAGTCCCAACAGCTTCAGACTTTGGAGGTTTCTGAAAGCCTCTTTTATTTCAGATCTTTTCTTTATCCCTTCATCAACTCGTGGCAGTAAGGAGCTAGTGAACAGCTGTTGCTCAAGAGCCTTGGCCCAATACAATCCACCCTTGGAGCAACCATTATGCTGTGTACCCAGGGAGTCTGTTCCCTCTGCCATCCTGTCATTCAGCAAGATTTTACAACTACAACCCTTTAACTATTTCATCAAGACTACAACACATTGTTCTCAGCTGGCTGAACTGGCATGGATTGATTTGGTAAAAGATGGGACAATAATCAGATATTAGTGACAGATGCAACACAGAAACAGAATTAATAAACCAGGTTAACATCTAACCAATACACACAGCACACACTTTACATTATTCTTTTCACTGTCATGTATGACTCTACAAGTTTTTAGTGCCATAGCATCAACAATCTCCATGCAACCTGATGAAGACATAGTACCATGTTCATCAAGCCATTCGTGATCAATACTTGAATCTAAGCAGTGCTGCTAAGACTCATCTATCTGCTGCCAAGTAATGCAGCTCCATTTGCCAGATCATCATTTGAATTCAAATGTACTCTGGTTGCAAGAACTTTAATATAATTTGATGGCACTGTTGTTAATCATAATAACTATTTTTCTAATAAGCATCTTCACTGTAAGGATGTTAAGCACTATTCATTTAGTGATAAATGACTTCATATAGCAAATCTATAAAGGGAATGGTAGCAGCAGAGAATTTTAAGAGTCAAAAAACTCACCTATTATTACCACAGGCAGAGTAAGAAGAGAGTCCCCAGGCAGAACAGTTTCTTCTAATAAAGGCATTCTTTTTATCTTCTTCCCAAGGCTATCACCAAAATACTGGCCAAAGGAATTCAGGAGCTGTCCTTCAGTTTCAGAGCTGTTGTAATTTCTAATTGAGAAGGACAGATGGAAGAAAACTAAAAATATAACAGTTGTACTGGAGTCAAAACAATCTTGTCAAAATAAAGTTGCTTTTAATGCTTTATTTGAAGACTATAGAATTAACAAAAAATAGACTAAAATAGATACGTTTCATCCAGTCTACAGAATTTTACTCTCCAGAACAGTTTTCTAGCAGCAAATCCAAGTCCATTTTCTCCTAGGAAGACTACAGCAAGATAATAAAAAGGGACAGATGGCTCCACAGAGACACAGATTTCCAATTCAGTTTATACAAAGCCAGTGTATAACCGACGAGCATTATTTTGATCCACCACACAGAAAAGCTCATTTTTCATTATCCCCATCAGAAGAGGAGACATACCCCACCTAGCCCACAAACAACACTGAGACCAACCAAAAACTGAGAAGCTAAGATATATTAGCAGCCCCTCATATGCTTTCCTACCTGCTGAACAGCACACAAGACTTTACACCAACACATTCTCGATCAGGCAGATGCGAAGCTGAAAGTCAGCAGTGGTGCAAAAAATTGAGATAGCAATTTCTAGAAACCCTAGATGCAGTCTATGGGGGTTTTAACCACATTAAGAAAGTCTTTTACAAAAGGAATCATCAAACAAATTTAATGCAAGTAATTACTGTGCACCAATCAGGTTAGCTACTGCATGACAGACTGTTCCCACCACCTGTCATCTCCTTAATTTGTCAGCTTTTCCTCTGCAACACCAACCTAGCTTCCTCTCACAGTTCTTCATGCTCTACATATACATCTATACTAAAGACATGTTTTCAACTGCTTGCCTCTTAATTATTTATTAGCACCTACTCAAGTCTTTCCAGGTCACTGGAGAAGCAAACATTTCATCAGCTTAGCTTAAAAGGCAATGGCAAATCAAAAATCTGCTTTTACTAAATCTTTAAAATGCTTAACTCCTCAATTAAAAACGTCCCAACCTATCAGCTCCTTTGGCACTGAGGGGTCTGCTGGATGCTCCCAAAGCCTGACAGAAAGCTGCAGACCGAGCTGCACAGCAGTGACAGCACTGTCACACAGCCCTGTGACAGTCACTTCTTGGTTAAAAAGGGGAAAGCCGTTCTGAAATTGTATTTACTTGAAGTGAAAACTTTACATGTGCATTTCCCACATTACAGGGAAAAAAAAAAAAAAATTGGAAATCAATGACTTTACTGAATTACAGCTGTGCACTGGCTTGTCACAATAATGGATGTGCATTAAAGCACGAACTGCAAGCTGAAGTGAACAGAGAGGATATTTAACCACCACACTGCTTTTTTAAGCAGGTACAGGTAGGCTCTGTTACCTGCCAGCCTGCACTCCGAGCTCACTACTGTGCTTTGCAGGTGGACTGACAGAGAGCAAGGGGGCTTAACACACCCTCCTAGCAGGACGGAAGGCTGAAACAGTAGAAACCGCCTGCAAATCTCTCTTGCGCAGCACTGAACCGTGCAGATCTGCCTGCGCACCACAAGCAGCTCCTCAGCTATCACGTGCACGAAGCAGAAGCAGCACCGCATCAGACGCAGGTTCTTGCTTCTTAGGAACAGCGCAGCAAAGCTCGGCAAGGTCCCGAATTAGGATGGTGGAGGCGGCCGCCCCTGAGCCGCGAGCACTGACGGTCCAGCGACGAGCACCAGGTTTTGCATCCAGCTTCGCGTGGCGGGGACCGGTATCAGCAGCCCGGCCCAGGGCCTGCGTTCAGCCCCCAGCCGGGGATCCGCAGCGACGCGAGGCTGCCAGACCCGGCGCTTCCCTCTTGCTTTTTAGTTATTCGCAGTTAGTTACATTTCTAATGGGAGCGAGGGAAAAGAGCAGGAAAACACATACCATACGTAAACGTTATCTTCCCCGGGAAAAGAACAAACCGTTCGCAACAGCTGCCGTTATTTCCCTCAAGTTACTAACGGAGGAGCCTTTCTCACGGAGCAGTTTCCGAAGCCCGCACAACGCGGTGCCTAGCAGCGGGCTGACCGCAGCGCGCGGCTGACGGAGATCTCGTCGCGCACAAACGGGTGACAGCCGGTGCCGAGCGCACATCCCGCCGGCGCGCTGCTCTCGTCTCCCGGCGGGGACGCGCGGCGCCCGGAGCGGCACCGCGAGCGCCGACGGAGGAGGAACGGCGCACGGCTTCGGGCGGGCGGGAGGCGGCGGGGCTGCCCGGCTCGGCGCTGCCCAAGGTGACCGCGCGGCCGGGGCGCCCCTCCATCCCGCCTCGCTCCGCACGTCTCCCGCGGAGGCCGCGGCCCCGGCGCCGCGCCGCCCTCACCTGACGGGACCGGCCAAGGAGCAGCGGCAGCACCACACGGGCATGGGGGGCTCCGTCGGGCTCGGGGCGCCGGCGGGGCCCGGCGGCGGGGCTGCGGGGGGACGTCGCTCCGCGGCTCCCGCTCCTCCTCCTCCCGCCGTCGCCACACTGGGGCCGCGCCGCGCCTCCTCCCCGCTCGCAGGCGGCTGCGGGTCACACGCGGAAGGAGGAGCCGCCGCCAGCACCGGGAGGGAGGAGCGGGAGGAGAGCGAGGAGGAGGGCGCGCTTCCTCCTGCCCGCCCCGCAGGGGGATGCGCCGCCGCAGCCGGCTGCCGAGGGAGCGGGCGGAACTCTCCCCCAACGCTGGGGAAAGAAGGACGCGTTCAGCGCCCCGCGGGCGACGGGGAGAAGCGTCCTCCGGCGCTGCCCCTGAGAAAGACGAGGCCCGCTCCCCACCGCGGCCCGTGCAGCCGCCCGCAGCCCCTCCCTGCCGCGGCCGCCCCCGCCCTCCCGCCAGGCCGCGCCACCCTCGCCGCCGGCACGGGCGCACCTGTGGCCGCCGCGGGGAAGCGCTGAGGTGCGGGACGCGGGGGGATCCCGATGCACTGGGCCTGGCGCTTCGACCCGTTAGGCCTTTTGTTATGTCGTGGTAACTGCTGCTGTGTTTCCGCGGGAAACTTGAGAAAGAGGTGCTTCCCGTCTTCGTGCTCAGTTCTTGAGTCAAGAGCCGCAGCAGGTTGCGTTTAGAGAAGGAAGTGCTTTCGTGTTGCTGAATTGACCCAGCTCTGCAATGCCTGCAGCGGTCACAGTGATCTTACAGCCCCGCGTCCCGTCTATTTCTTTCTGTGGTGCAATCAGGTTTCACATGGGCTACTCCAGTCTGGAGGAAAGCCTGTGGGGAGACCTCATTGCAGCCTTCCGGTACTTAAAGGGTAGCTATAAACAGGAGGGAGTCCTGCCTTTTGCATAGGAAGATAGCGATAGGACGTGGGGAAATGGCTTTAAACTAAGACGGGAGACTCAGATTAGATGTTAAGCAGAAATTATTTACACGGAAGGCAGAGAAGCACTGGCAGAGGTTACCCAAAGAAGCTGCAGATGCACCATCCCTTGAGGCATTTGGGACCAGGTTGGATAGGGCCCTGGGCAGCCTGAGCTGGTGGGTGGCAGCCCTGGAAGTAGCAGCAGGTTGGAACTGGATGGGCTTTAAGAACCTTTCTAACCAAAGCTACTCTATGATTCTATGCAAATGCACGTGTGGGTATTAGCAGAACAGAAAACTAACTATATTACAAACTTTGTAGGCACTGTTTGGCTAATGTCCATCTACATATGAATACTTCATATATTTAATGATAGCTAAATTGTATTTTTGTAAATGTTGTATTGTAAATGTTTCACAGGTGTGCATGGCTGGGAGAAATCATGTCTTTCTCAGTCCTCTAATCACAGAGTATTTTAGGTCAGTGGGATGTTGGGAGTTCCCCATGCCCATCCCCTGCTCAGAGCGGGGTTACCTACAGCCTGGGACCGCATCCAGCTGATGTCTCAAAATATTGACAACACAAGCAGATTTTTGAAGATCTCCAAGGGCAGAGACTTGACAGCATTTCTGAGCAACTTCCCTGGGTGTTGACCAACCTCACAATGAAACGTGCTTCCTTCTGTGCTAGTTTTAATTTCCTGTGTTTTGAGGAAATAGAAAATCTTGATAGAAAATCTCTTTTTAGCAAGTACAAAACACATCCAATGAAACACACTGTTCTTCACATTTACTTAACAGTGCCCGTCATGCATCTTTAGACCAGAATTAAGAACATGAAGCTGCTTTTAGCTTGTCTTTTTTTTTTTTTTTTCCCCCTCAAAATATTTTAAACAGAAACTGCCCTTAAAAAAACAGTGTCTTCAGGAAAGTGCATGAAGTACTTGCTTGTTTACCAGATAACACCCTACTTGAATAATTCATCTTGTTTTATTAAAATTGTGTCCTTCTTTGCAACAAATTACAGAAAATATACAACAGAAACCTCATGCCTTGAGAAAACTAGCTATAGTAAGAAGTTTTCCAGTTGTCTCTGAGCCATTTGACGGTAGGGTCAGATGACATTGATTTTGAAGCTGACATGTGAAGGACGTACTCGGCTTTAGACACCACACAGCCTTTGGTCACAGCCTCCTCTGTTATTTCTTCCCATCAGCAGATCTGGCTGCCTAGAATATAACTCACAACTTCAGCTAGACTGGCATTATTATTAATTTTTGCCCTTCTCTTTGTGGAAATGACTTTGAGTAGAAGAGAAAAACAGCCGCACCTGTGTCCACACCTATAGTGTATGTATTTTCCCAGCACACTTTTACATTTGAAGTGGAAAATGTTATGCCTTCAGTTTTTAATACAAAAGAGGTAGATTGAAAAAACAGCATTTTATAAACCCATCAAAAACTCATAGACCTTCTCTGGAAATAGTATTCTGCATTGACAGTTATAATTATATGATTTTCCCAGAAATAAAATTTTATGTTTCCTTGAAATTCTGAATTTTAATATGGCTGTCTCAAATGTCTCAGTTTTTTTGGTGGTGATTTATTTTAAATCTGTGATTGCATCAGGATAAGGTATGTTTCCTTCAGATGTGATTTTGTCAAAGTGAAACATGATTAAAAACTAAGGAAACAACATGAGAGAGTGGAATAAAACATACCACGCCATAGAAAATGCTTCCTCCCATATACAGCCAGTAATCACACTTCAAAGGGATTTACATGTCCTGTTCTGCTCATTTTTGTTAATAGATTCAGGCAGTTACTGTGTGCTAGTTGTATTACAATTCTCTACATCTTAAATCACGTTAACCAGCTTAAAGTTCCTATATTTCATTAACACTCACTGAAATTGTGCATTTGCTCAACAAATAATTTTTAAAGTCAACTGAACTTAAAAGATCATCCCCCCAAATGTTCAGTAAGTCATTATCAGTGTGTGGAATATCACTTTTTGTTAATCACAAGGTTTTTGTCAACATTTTTTTTTTTTTTTTAACCCAAATCTTCTTGTTGATCAATTAGGTATGTATAGTACCAGCTTGACACTGCAATATTCCTGAAAATCCTGTGGGCCCACGGGATGGAAGCATCAGAGCATGGGACTGGTATCTCAGTGGAACATGAGACACATGACCTGGAACAAGAGGGCTTTGTCCTCTGTGGCAAAAGCAGTAAGATCAGTAACTGAAGAAGGCAACCTGCTGGTTGTAACACAGCATGGGAAACAATATGTTGGTAAGATTTCTGTGCCTCCACCCACTGCAATATGAGATTTAAGTATAAATTGAGTAGAAAATAGAGCTGTAAAGCTTCAAATGTCACTATAGGAGAATGATCAACCCTGTCCTGATAAATAATGCAGTATCTCAGTGCAGAGCTTACTCAGGACAGATGTCTCATCGATAACAAACTTGTTCCCTGTAATATCAAATGACTGAAAAATGTATGAACTGCAAGGCCCAGTAAGCTACTGTGTAGTGAAACATTTTCAGAGACAAGCAAACAAGTCTGTAGCAAAATTTCTACTCAGCCTGATGTACAAAGTGCTGAAGAAAGTTGTGGAGAGATTAAGAAGGCTACTGGTTATTTACTTTTACTACTATTAAGCAAGATAGCAACTGAGAAATCTAGCTGTAAGACAAGTCTCTGCATGGCCAGGGAAAAATAAAGAGGAGTCTCAATCAAGAAGCTCTGTTGCAAATAGGACAGATCCTTCCAAAAAACCTAGATACTTACTAAGAGGGACAAATACAAGATATGGAGCTTAAAAGACCAGGTCTGTCAGCTTCCTGGGATCTTTTCGTAGCCTGGTTTTCTTCAGAAGTTTCCCAATACTCATAAAGTAGTACTTGCTTGGAGAATACAGATGCAGTAAGTTGTGTGTCAAAGAATTAATAACACAAAGAAAATGACAGGAGTGTCTTTAATAGCTTTTTTTTTCTTTTCAGAGAGAAATGTGCCTGAATATCTCAAAAGGAGCCAATGTATTATTCTGGGATATGTCAGGATATGAGAATTCTGATGGTGTAAGGTCAAAACTCTCAGCCAGGGGTAGACTACTTAGCTGTGACAGTGTCATATGCACTCTGAAGAGTATTTCATAATGCAGCACTGGACTGCTTTGGAAGATGGACAGAGTCAGATTGGAGAAAGCCTGTAAGATCATGACAGGACAGGCCTAAATGATCTCTGGACAATAGAACACTTGGAAGAGATTAACTGTGCGGGGTCTGCTGGTGGCATTAGTCTAGTAGATATTTAGGATAAGAACTTATAGATCCAAACCTCTATGCTAGCAGTTAACTTCTTCTTCTGTATATTTTTGGAAAAAATGAAGATGATCTTTTGCATGATAATTCTAAGTAGACATTATTAGATATTAGCAAAGTAATGATGGGTTTTGCTACTTTAGAAGAAATAGGAATGTTGCAGAACCTTCTTCAAGTTGCTTCACTGTTAGGGAGTTTGCAGAAGCCAGCTTCCTAAGTCATGAATGCTTGAAAAAACCTACTGGTAGAAAAACTTGTAAAAAGTTGGTAAATTAGAAAAAAAAAAAAAATCAGATTACATGTACAACAGGAAGGATGAACAAAAAAAAAAAAAAAAAAAAAAGCACTTAATTATGAAGATAATGTCAGATTTTCCAGTTACAGATGGTACAACTTATTTAGTCTCTTGCAAAGACTCAAATGGCAGCTATTGTCCTGTTCTCACAGCCATGGCTGACATGCATGGACAGCTGCCTGTACTTGTACCCAGCCCTGGAGATGAACCACTCCGGGCTACAAAATAACCCGCAGTCTCAGGAAAATTGATGTTCTTTATCATCTTTCAGTCTTTGGAGGAATTTGTTAATGGCATTGCCACAATGGTTCATCTCAGGTATAGTTTAAGAATGACATAATTAGGAGGGAGAATAGCCAGAAGGGTTTTGGTTACCATTTGGTGAGTCTGGGAAGGAGCTTGATGCCAAAAAAAAAAAAAAAAGTTGTAGAAAGGAGCAGGCATCATCCAGACTAGTGAGAGGTGGTAGGACTAGAATTTAAAGTCTTTGCGAACTGTAGAAGTTGATGATTAGAACAAATGTATGGAAGTAAGCATCTTGAAAGGTATGCAGCAAGTTTTAAAGAATATCTCTAACTAAGGCAAAATATTTAAAATTGCAATAGATTTGTTTGCAAGAGCATGTTTATATGTGTGGGAAGCTCTGACCGAGGACATGTCCTATGGCATGTTCTAGGCCTGTTCTGTGCAATTAATCAATTGAATCCCTGAGGCAACTGTTTCAGTATTAGAACAAATAAACCAAGGTTATATTGCATTTTGGAT